CAAACAATTTATGACTAAGACCCCAACGGCAATTACAGAAACAACAAAAATAAATAAATGGGACTTGATTGAATTAAAAAGCTTCTGCACAAGAATAGAAATAATCAACAGAGCAAATAGACAACCTACAGAATGGGAGAAAATATTCACAATCTACACATCCACGAAAGGGCTAATATCCAGAATCTACAAAGAACTCAAATCAGTAAGGAAAAAACCAAACAACCCCATTAAAAAGTGGGCAAAAGACATGAACAGAAATTTTTCAGAAGATAAATAAATGGCCAGAAAACAGAAGAGAAAATGCTCAACATCACTAATCATCAGGGAAATGCAAATTAAAACCACAAGGAGATATCACTTTACTCCTGTTAGAGTGGCTTTTATTAAAAGGTTCAAAAACAATAGATGCTGGCACAGATGCAGGGAGAAAGGAAGACTTATACACTGTTGATGGTACTGCATATTAGTCTGTATGGAAAACAGTATGGAACTCTGTCAAAGAACTAAAAGTAGACCTACCCTTCGATCCAGCAATCCCACTACTTGATATCTACCCAAAGGAAAAGAAGTAATTTTGTCAAAAAGACACCTGTACTCAAATGTTTATTGCAGCACAATTCACAATTGCAAAGATCTGGAATCAAACCAAGTGCCCATCAATTCATGAATGAATTAACAAAATTTGGTATATGTACACCATGGAGTACTACTCAGCCATAAAAAGGATGAATTAATGCCTTTTACAGCAATTTGGAATGAATTTAAGACAATTATTCTAAGTGAAATATCTCAAGAATGGAAAAGAAAACACCACATGTACTCTCTAATAAATTGGAACTAACTGATGGCACACAAGTGCAGAGTGAAGTAAAAGTCATTGGAAATCAAGCAGGGGGCTGGGGGAAAGAGGAGAGGGGCAAAAACCCACCTAATGGGTACAATCAATGAACACTATTTGAGTGATAGGCACTTTTATAGCCTTGACTCAAGCCATGTAACAAAAACATTTGTACTCCTTTAATATTCTGAAATTTAAAATAAGAGAGAAAAATAACAATAAAGGATAATATAAATTTTTTAAAATTCAGTATATACCAACTATGCTATCATCTACATTGTATTAGGTATTATAAGTAATCTAGAAATGATTTAAAGAATATGGGAGGATACGTATAGGTTATATGCAAATACTACACCATTTTATATAAGGGACTTGAACACCTTTTTGGTATCCTTGGGGGTCCTGGAACCAATCCCCTGAGGAGATTGAGAGATAACTGTATTTTTTCTTTGGCTAAACAAATGAAGAACAAATGACAGAAAATCATGATTCTAAAACCCCTAACAAGGTAATGGATCTAGGCATTAATATCAACAGTTGCTAACTCATAAAATAGACATAACAACATTACATGCATGCTTATGAAAAAAGTAAAATATTATCTATAGTCTTGTAGTCTCATTTAAAAAAAACTCTCTAGATATAACTACCAATTGAGATGAATTAAACAGAAATATGTTAACTATACCATAATGAAACAGTCAATAAAATTCAGACTGTGGAAAATTATACTGAGCCAAGAATCCAGGCTGTTCAATAAATAAACTAGAAGAGAAAAGAGGGAAAAGAGATGGTAAGGGAACCTTTAAATTAAGGGAGACTTAAAAGGGATTTTTTTTAGAAGAGCAAAACTAAACCATTTAAGCTTTAATGTGTGTTTAAGGATGCACACTTGGGCAATAAAATTATAATGAAAACAAGTGATTACCATAAAAGTCAGCTGTAGTGGTTACTTTCAGGTTTGAGATTGGAATGGGACACAAAGGACTTCCAAGATTGCTGGCAAAGTTCTATTTCTTGACATGAATGGTAGTTATGAGGTGGTTACAATGTTCCTAAAAAAATCACTAAGCTACACATTGATTTTTTTTTTTTTTTAAGACTAGTCAAGTGCAGTAGTGAGGAGGGGGGAAAGTAGTAGAACAAGGAGTTCAATCTGTAACTGACTGTGAACAATCACGTGAGATAACTCACTACCTTCGGACCAGCCTACACATTGATTTTATTAGTAGTTTCAGTATCTGTCTTTTACTCTACAAAAACAGGTTCAAGTAATTTGCATGTGTATACAATGCAATATGCAAAAAATATTAGAAAGAAATACATCAAAGTGCTAACACTAAAAGGTAGGTTTGTAATGTTTCTTTTCTTTTTTGATACAGAGTCTCACTCTCTTGCCCGGCTAGACTGTGGTGGCGCCAGCCTAGCTCACAGCAACCTCAAACTCCTGGGCTCAAGCAATCCTTCTGCCTCAGCCTCCCGAGTAGCTGGGACTACAGGCATGTGCCACCATGCCTGGCTAATTTTTTCTCTATATATATATTTTTAGTTGGTCGATTAATTTCTTTCTATTTTTAGTACAGACGGCATCTTGCTCTTGCTCAGGGTGGTCTCAAACTCCTGACCTTGAGCGATCCTCCCGCCTCAGCCTCTCAGAGTGCTAGGATTACAGGCGGGAGCCACCACACCTGGCCAAATTTTTATTTTCTTCATCACAATTTTCTGCAGTTTCCAAAATTAGTATGATTTGCATAATCAGGAAAAAAGCTATTACTGAAAAATAAAATACTAGAAATTAAAATCTAATTTGTAACATCCACTATCAATCAGACACTAACAGCTATTTACAATTAATCTGAAACACACACACACACACACACACACACAAATAACTATGTGTAAAACTGATGAGATCTGAATAAGTTCTGTGGATTGTACCAACAGCAATTTACTGGTTTTGACATTGTACTAAAAATGTAAGATGTCACCAGTAGGGGAAACTGGGTAAAGGGTAGGGATCATTCTGTAACTTCCTATGTGTAATTATTTCAAAATTAAAAATTAAAAAAAAACTAATTTGAAGGTTTAATAGGGCCAATATCCTAAAGATACTATAATACTATTATTCAAACATGACATCCATCCTTTTCTAGCATACTAATTATTTTTATTCATTTCTGGCCCATGATAGAAATCTGAAAAGCCTACTATTTGATAATACAGTCATGCACCACACGACAATGTTTTGATCAACAAGGGACTGTATATACAATCATGATCTTGTAAGATTATAATAGACCTGAAAAATTCTTATTGTCTAGTGACAATGTAGCCATTGTATATGTCATAGCACAATGCATTACTCAGAGGTGTTTATAGTGACACTGGTATACACAAACATACTGTGCTACTAGTCATATAAAATTATAGCCCATATAGTTATATATGGTATATAGCACTTGATAATAAACAACTGTGTTACTGGTTTATATATTTATTATACCATACTTTTTATCATCATTTTAGAGTATATCCCTTATTAAAAAAAAGTCAGCTGTAAAACAGCCTCAGGCAGGTCCTTAAGGAGGTATTCTAAAAGGCATTATCATCATAGGAGATGACATCCCTATGCCTGTTACTACCCCTGAAGACCTTCCAGTGAAATGAAGTGTGGAGGTAGAAGACAGTGATATTGACGATCCTGACCCTGTGTAGGCCTAGGGGTTAATGTGTGTGTTTTGCCTTAGTTCTTAACTAAAAAGTATAAAATGTAAAAAAATAGAATTAAAAAATTTTGTAAATAGAAAAAAACTTATAAAATAACATAAAAATATTTTTATACAGCTGTACAATGTGTTTTAAGCTAAGTGCTATAAAAAAAGAGTCCAAAGTTAATGAAAAATTAGTTTATAAAGTAAAAAAGTTACAGTAAGCAAAGGTTAATTTACAGTTGAAGAAAACTTTTCTTTATAAATTTAGTGTAGCCTATGTATGCAGCATTTATAAAGTCTACAGTAGTGTACGATAACGTTCTAGGTGTTCACATTTACTCCCCAGTCACTCACTGACTCACTCAGAGCAACTTCGAATCCTGCAAGCTTCATTTATGTGCCCTCCATTTAAATGGACTATACAGCTGTACCATTTTTTATCTTTTATATCATTATTTTTTACTGTACTTTTTCTAGGTTGAGATATGTTTGGATACATAAATACTTACCATTGTGTGATTATTGCCTACAATATTCAGTACAATAGCATAATGGACAGGTTTGTAGCTTAGGAGCAATAGGCTATGCCATATAGCCTATGTGTGTAGAAGGCTACCCCATCTATGTTTGTGTAAGTACACTCAATGATGTTGTTTGCACAAAATCACCTAACAACACATTTCTCAGAACATATTCCTGTCACATCATATAACTGACACATTATTGTACATATTATTTCATATGTTCAAAATATCTATTATACTTGGATCTGTTCTGATGATCAGAAATGCTGTACCATGGGGGGGGCAGTGGGGGGAAGCAACACACATAACCTAAACATTCATACCCCGATAATATGCTGAAATAAAAAAATAATAAAATAACAGATTATAAAATTAAAAAAAAAAGAAAGAAAGAAGAAATGGTGTACCTGTTGTCCCCAGAAAGTTGTCAATGGTAAACATATAAAGCATAATTTAAAAAACTACCTTATTCAAAATATTTTTGGTTTTTTTTTTCGGTCATGCAAAAAAGCAAACCCAGTCTTTCATTAATAAAGACACTTTAAAAACCTGTTTTCCATCAAGTATATAGAATTGCCAGAGCTATAAGAGGCCAAAGGTATAATAGTCCAGGTTCTATCTTCCAGTGAGTAACTAGCTACCAAGAAGAGCTTAATATCTGGTACTCACTATAAACAAAAGAACATCCCTTTGAAAATAAATTTGTAAAACTACTTGATTACTTACGCCCCTTATAGAAAGCTACCCTGTACAGATTGTCTAAACTGAAATTCATATTTCTAGGGGAGCCAAACCTCTACATGAATGATCAAACCAGACATCATAATATAAATCCATTCAGTAAATAAGAGAAAAAAAAAAGAAAAAAACACTTCATATAGTAAATATGCACAAAGCAAGTTTACAGCATACATACCGTACCTTTTGATAAGGTCTCTTAGGTGATAGGCTGGAATTGCGGCATTCACCACTGCTTTACTGGCAAATATGTGATCGATAATAGCAGAACTGTTTGCCTAAGAAAAGGGAGAAAAGTCTACCTTTGGTTATTCACTTTAGTCTATATATACTGAGTACTAGGCAGATAGTATTATACATGATGAGTAACATGCGACAGAAAACACTCTCTTCTGAGAGCTTACAATTTTAATGAAGGAGATAATTTATATAAGTTTCTAGAGAGGAGGAAAATTTTTTCTCCATTCTCAGTACCTAGCACAGTACCTGGCATTCTATGAACATCTACTAGATAAAAGAATAAGGAAACAAGTACCAAAGCAACCACATAAAAATGTAGTTTAATGCAAAGTTAGAAAATGAATGTGTAATAGGTGAGTCAGGTTTTGGTTTTCACACAAAAATAAAGACAAAATGAAGCACTACATTCGTCATATTATCCACACTCTACATTTTCATGGAAATGTAACACTTTCTCCTTCAATACTACACTAACTCAGAATTTAGAACTGTGTACATGAGTAAAAAGACCTGATACCATCATTATCACTAATGTATACAATACTTACCATGGGCTGGACCCCCTGTTAAAAACTAAGTATCATTTCTTTTTTAACCCCAATACTCTTATGAGATATATGCTATCATTATCCTCATTTTACAGAAAGTAAACCATGGTTTAGTGAACCTAAATACTTAGTAAGAGGCAGAGGCAAGGTATGAACCCTAGCAGTTTGACTTCAGAGCCTATGCTCATACCCACTTAGGAATTTTGCCTCCATAGAAGGTGATACAACAAAATGATGTTTTATCTAGAGAGGCATATATTAGGGATCCCATTAGTACACATGATGCCTTCAAATTTCACACAAATTAAAATGTGACCTCATTCTACTGAGCTTTGGACTAAGCAGATATAGTCCCAAGGGCTCAATGACAGTCAAAGCTAATTCAAGTAATTGCTCTATATTTGGATTAGCACTAAGAAAGAATACTTAGCCTCTTGACTGTTTTGGGACACCAGTAATAAAAAATGATACTGGGCCGGGTGCAGTGGCTCATGCCTGTAATCCTAGCACTCTGGGAGGCTGAGGCAGACCGATCGCTCAAGGTCAGGAGTTCAAAACCAGCTTGAGCAGGAGCGAGAAGCTGTCTCTACTAAAAATAGAAAGAAATTAATTGGCAAACTAAAAATATATATAGAAAAAAAATTAGCCAGGCATGGTGGTGCATGCCTGTAGTCCCTACTCGGGAGGCTGAGGCAGGAGGATCGCTTGAACCCAGGAGTTTGAGGTTGCTGTGAGCTAGGCTGACACCACAGCACTCTAGCCTGGGCAACAGAGTGAGACCCTGTCTCAAAAAAAAAAAAAAAAAAGAATGATACTGGTTTTACTCCCATAACAGCATTTTCTTTTACCCCAAACAAGCGTTAGGTGTACCAACTAGGCTATTAAAGTATTCATTCCATGAATTGCTACACCAGAAATCAGTGACTAGGGGATTAAAAGAAACAAAACTCTACATGTTATAATAGCCATACACTATATATTAGATGCTCAAAACAATACTTCTTGTGTAATATCAAAATACTCAATATAAAATACATGTTTAATATCTAAATTCCTAACCTCTAATATTTGAATGAACTTTTTGTCTGCTTATAAGTTAGGAATTAACTACAGTATGTTTTCAAACATATTGTTGGGCTTTAAAATTATGATGCTATTATTATCCTCTAGGCTTGAGGTTTGGTAAATAATACAGTATTTTGGAATTATTATTGATTTTGATATTAAGGTATTAAAGTATTTTTTAAACTATAAAGCATTATGTAAAGATTATCATTTAACTTAGAACATGGTTGTAAACTTTAAAATCTAATTTAAATAAGTTGCTAAACAAAAAAATCATTTTTGCTTCTTCTGGAAAATGCATTCATTCAAACATTTCATCAAGCACTTACTACATGTCAGGCCCCAGTAAGAAAGCAATGCTCACTAACACACAGTAGTAGTGGCATTTAAGGTGCCATAAATACAAAGAGAGGAGTATGGACAAAAGAAAGCAACAGGAATCCTCGACAAGAATCATCATAAACTGAATATTCTTAAATTAGGATTAAGAACCCCAAAGCAAAGCACTAATGCAGTTTACCTTCCATTCCTGAGATCTGACTGTATGTTTCAGTTTCATTCCTGAGAACATTTCCAGTAAAATGATTCCTAGGCTCCAAAGATCAACAGCTGAGGTACATTCTGTATCACTCTGCAGGCCAGCCTGGGCCAAGCAATTTTGCAGTTCTGCTTCTGGAGCCCGATACCCGTCTGTCTGAATATACTTTACATCCTAAGAAGATGAATAAATATTACAACCAATAAAAAGCTGCTCAGCTTCCATCCATCTTTTCAGTGTATTTACTTCTCCAAAAGTGCAGTAAACTACTGCCAAATTAAATGCCAAAAATTTTTAGCCCTTACTTATCATAATTCTTTGGCTCATTAACTGGGCATTTCTCAGAGGCAAGCTGTATATTTTCCATACACCTAACTCATAAAGATGTCTTCACTGGATTGTCTCTTACCTATTAGGCACTGCTGATAAATAAGGACACTCTGCAAAGAACTGATAAACTATGGATCATGGAGGATTTGCCAGAACTGTCACATGCATTCTGCTACGAAATAGAGTCCCAACACTGAAAACACCAGGAACAGTAACCTAGCACTTAACCAAATGCTCACAAAATTAAAAAAGAATTGTATATGAGTTGAGTACTTTTAATAATTCCAGAGCTCTCTTATGCTTCCTAGCTCCTCCTACCTGATCCAAACATATGTCCTTTATTCATACGGCAGCACTGAAATCCTTTTGATTTTGCTTCATCCCCAGGTATTTTAGATAGAAATGTCTCATAAGTCCCTATTAAACTATACCTGTTATTTAAAAATATTTGGTTTAGGCCCACTAGATTTTAAACCATGAGGGAAAAGAAATGGTTATTTCTTACCTGATTGCCTTCTTTGAAGCTAAGTCCAAAGTCAATGAGTTTAAAACATTCATTCTCTGCACTCCACAATATGTTACGTGGTTTGAGGTCTGCATGGACATAACCCTCATGATGAAGAAAAGCAAGGGCCTCCAGAACGTCTCTGGCACAATGCTGTATCATCCACATGGAACAACCCTGGTGACTAGAATATAAAAGCAATTCCGAAACACTGACATCCAGGAGTTCAAGCAACAGACATCGTGATGGCACATTTGGAGAGAAGTGGATTGTAAAGACTCCATACAAAGTCACTAAAAAAGAAACAAATTATAATATTTTTAAAATCAGACTCAAAGTAAGTTACTACTAAAGTAGATAACTCTGCAGTACAAATTTGGGATAGTTTAAATAAGGACAACTTTGATGAGCAAACTTCCACTGTAATTTATTTTTCCCATGAGTAAAATTTTTGGGTAACTGGGTTATTTTAATAAAATTAGACAAGCTTCAATAGCTGATTACCATTCAAAGATATTAATATGACACAATGCTACAATTTATGTCTCACCAAGTACTTAGTAGCAGGTGAAGATTCACCTTGGGTGCCAAATAAAAATGATTAAAAGTAAAAATCCAAATATTAAGTAACTCTCTTAAAAGGAATGTCACAATGCACAAAAACCAAATTGAACACTGCTTCTTAATCCAAAATAGGACTCTATAAATATTAAAAGGCAAGATTAAGACTTTCCAGATGACGTTTTAACCTAATCTTGCAGAGATTTCAACAAGTCCTTATGCAGCAAAAATTTTCCCTCTTCAATATCTAAGTTATAAGTGATATACCATTTAGCAAGCTCAAAAAATGCAAAGTAGTGTTAAGAAATTCTTCTCTAAAATGGTATTATAGAAAAGGTCATTCTTCAAATTAAGTATGGATTATACTTGCCAGGAAATCAGACATTGCTTTATTGACCAAAGCTATAACTAATGATAAACTCACTGTTGGTGTAATGACAATGAAGACTGCTTCAAAGATCAATCTTCAGTGATCACTAAATATCTTACATTCTGAATATCTGAGTCATGAAACAGTCTTTCAAGAGGGCAAAAGTATAAAGCGTTCCTAAATTTCACACTTCCATAAGGACTCCATGTAATATTGAATCGTTTTTTCCAAATTCACAATAAATATATGTCAGGTGAACTATGTGGGAGTTATTGGCATTGATGCCACAAGCCCTAGAAATAGTTTCCATTTCCCACTGGTATGCCAAGATTCAAAAATTTCCACTCAAGACATGACATCTAGCAAAGGTATGCCTCTTTTTACTATAGAAAACACTTCTCTATGCTAATAAATGCGGCATTCTCTGAAGAGACCCAAAGCAAAACTGAACTTACTGAGCATCTACTGTGTGACACTAGGAAACGCAGATCACCAACTCCATCTTACCGCAGACAGTAATAAAGTGAAAGGGGATGGGGAAAGGAAAAGGGGATTGGATCAGGTGATAAAGAGGGCCAGACCTGCTTCTCCTGCATAAAGGAGGGAAGATGGAACGCCAGGCTGACACAGTATGTGTCTGCTCTGGGACCTGGACAAGAGAAGGGAGACAGTGACAATTACCGATGTTCCTGTGACCCTGCAACTGCTCCAGCGCCGCCCTCTCTTTGCGGAAACCATACTCAGCGGCCGAGGCTGCAGCCCCGGTGGTTCCCGGCGGCAAGAACTGCTTGAGAGCGCCGGGGGGCGAGCCGGGGTTGCCGCAGCAGCGCACCCGATACACCGAGGCCGAGGAGCCGCTGCCCAGGCGGCTCTGTACCTGCCACAGCCGCCCGAAGGCCTCCAGAAACCGCGGCGGCTCCGCGCCCCAGGCGCAACCGGACCCCGCCATCGGTGTGAACTGAGGGCACTGACACCGGAGCTGACGCGACGCCCGAGGCAGGCCGGCAGGGCCCGCGGTCACATCCCCGCCCGCCGGACCAGCGGCTTCGCAGGGAGGGGCCTGCAGCCGCCTCACCGACACCGGGGACCTCAGGCCGCCATGACACCGGAAGCGGTAGCGCGCACGGGTCCCAGAAGCCGGAAATGGAGGAAAAGTCAGTCCAATAGGCTGAGGAGGCGGGCCCAGAAGGGGTGGGGCCTAGAGTTCAGTTAAATTAGCTTTGGAGACTAGGACTGAAGAGTTAAGACAGGGTAAGCTTAATTGTCGAGTGTCTACGATTCCCAGTACTAACCTCTTTCGTAACGTTACCTGAAACTGAAACTAGTCCTTTTCCTTGTTGCGGCACCTCACCTCACCACTGGGAACCCAGGAAAATAAAACTCCGTCTGTAATTCTCACAGAAGGGATCACAAGGGAAATACCCCGGTTACGAAGGAGAGAGGGGTTTTACCACCACCTTCAGGCCCCCCACGGTCACTAGTAGCCGTAATTTTGGATGCCCAGGCCCTTGTTCTCCTCTTAGTCCACCATGACTGTGGCTGCCTCATCAAAGAGGCAAACGTGGATCTATTACAATTTTTTAATATTTCATTTGTTCATTCGATTATTCTATTCATTCAAAAAACATTTACTGAGTAACACATGTAGCAAACAGGCATCTCAATACACAAACTAGTGTGTATAATAAATGTAGCCTTCTTTTCAGTAATTCAACTTTTACTATTTCATTTTGATTGGATGGTAGAAACTTAGTCTCCGACAATTTGCCCCCATCCCCTTTTCCTCAGGTTTTTGTCCAAATTCCCAGCCGGGTCAGGTGGCTTATGTAGTGCATAGTGGAGAGATTGAGAAGCCATCTGCTTTTCAGTATCATTGATCATCACCTTGTCTGATTGCCACTGAAATGTGCCTTATTTCTTCTGTCTGCATGGCCCTTTCAAAGGTCTGTAATAGGGAAAGCTGTGTGCACTATTTCAAACAAGCGTTTTCTCTAAGTCTGAAGTCCACACCAATCTTTTGAGATAATTTTCTTTTGGCTTACAAAAATCAAGTCAAGACTTACAGGCTTTTGTGATTGTGCAGCCACATGGCTCCTTTAGGCAATAAGGACAGCCATCTATCTGCTTGTATAAAGGGAGAACAAACTGGGGAAACTGAGGAGTGAGAAGGGAAGTGGAGAACACAACTACTTTAGGTCCTGAATAGATGGAAGAGATGAAATAGAAATGAACTTTGATTTCAAGGAACTTGGAGTTGGTAGAATGACTTAGACATGTGTAATATTATGATCCAAGGCATAAAGGTAAAAGTGTTCTAAAGGAGGGCAAGTAAGGTGCTAGAAATGCTCAGAGAAACTCTGAGCAACTCTTGTTACAAAAATGTGAGTAAAACAAAGCATTTTGTTTTTGTCTGGCATGTTGAAATAGAGTGTATTGTAATTAGAAAGGGTAAATGCTGAACTTTAAGAAATTGGCTAGATCCTCCTTATAAAAATATCCATTGTTAGAATACATATAAACCCTTCTCCTGAACACTAGAAATAAAAAATTACCAGTCTGAAAATATTTCTCAGTACAGTTTTATTTCTTTAGGACTTTTTTATTTCTTTAGAACTTTTCCAAGTTCTTTTCTTATAGTATAATGCCTTCTCATTGCTCCAATGGCTAATTAACAAGGTAAAGGTACTAAATTATAGAACTGAGCCATATTCAAAAGTGGTACTGTATAATCTGAAATAGATATACCTTAGAATATCTTTGACAGAAGGGGTGGCCCATATTTACATTGTTTAGCTCTTGAACATCCAGATCCTTCAAGCATGAAAGTAATTACTCTCTGTGGTAACCTATCTCCAAAATGGTCCCCAGTGATCCTTGTCTCCTAGTACTTATGCCCTTCCATCGTTCCATCTCATGTTGAGTAGGGATGACCTGTGTAGCCAAGAAGATAATGTAGAAGTGATGGTGTGTGGCTTCCTACATCATAAAAGACTCTGTAGCTTCCATCTTGCTATCTCTTTGATCACTTACCTTGGAGGAAGTTACCTGTCTTGTCATGAAGACCCTCAAGTAGCCCATTGGAGATGTCTACATGGTGAGGAACTGAGGCCTTCTGCCAACAGCCATTTTTAGTGAGCCACGTTGGAAGTAGATCTTCCAGAACTAGTCAAGCCTTCAGAATGACTGAAATCTTGCTTGCAAACTCAGGAGAGACCCCTAGCTAGGACCATACAGCTAAGCCAGTTGTGAATTCAGTCCCACAGAAATTATATGTGGTGATAAATGTTTATTGTTGTTTTAAGTTGCTATTTTGGAGTAATTTGTTATATAGCAATAAATATGCAATAGGAAGGAATAAATAATTAATGTCCACAACAATACATGTCCACAGCACAACATGTCCACTTAACATTATCACAAAATTGCTTTGCAGTTGTATACATTCATGTTCTAATCAGCAATCAAAAACTGTATGATTTACCATATCCATACCAATATAAAGCATTGTTATTTTAAAATTATCTTTTTTAATTTTATAAGCAAAATGATACTTTGATATGGTTTTAAATTTATGTGGTTATTAGTAGGGTATACTTTTTTAATACTTTTAATTATTTAGTAACTTTTCAAGACTTTTAATACAAAATATTTATATTTTTATTTTCACTTCTGTAAATTTTCTTGCAAGATGACTGGTAGATTTCCTTTTTCTCTTTAGTTTCCCTCACTCCTTTTGTCTTTCTCCTTAGATTTTCTTCTTTCTATTTGGCTGCTATAGGCCAGGGAATACCAGAGACTCACTTGGAATTGCAGTTTCTAAGTGGATAAAATCTACGGCCCCTCCCTAATCCTCCTTTCTTCTCTCTTGAGCAGTATCTCTTTGCAGTGGTTATAGTAAACTTTGGCCACCTGAGGCTCCCTGAGGATTTTTATAATAGAATCCATTTTTTCCTGGTGCTGAAAATGTCTATTGCAAGAGTCTTTGTTTTGGCTTTCATTCAGGTGGATCAGTCAGTGGTCTGTCACAACATTTCTCCTCTTTTCAATTCCCACATCAGTGTCAGCTGCAACTTTGGAAAGAGTCTGAGCCAGGTCCTTTGGCGCTTTCCTTGTAAGTCTAGACACCAAGTCCTGGCTTAGAGTGAGACTAGATTTCATTTCCAGCTCTACCATTTACTGTGTAAGTGAATTAATAAAACTCTTTTGGCCCTGGTTTCCTTGGCTAGTTTTTATGTGGGATAAAATATTAGTTATAATTAGATAAAATAACAAAAGTAGTCTCATGAAAGACCTGCCTTACTGTGAGTTCTTAGTAAGATTTGCTCCTTTTGCCTATTTCTATAATTCTATGGTTGGACTTAGAGAGCCCATTAGAACAGAATAGAACCTGCTCATCATTACTCCTCCTTAGTAGTGAAGATATTACAGATGATTAATTGTGTTCCCTGCCACAACTTCTATTTCTTCCAGATGTTCTGTTCTCCTTGTGGTATCTGAGGGACCCAGATCACATTTCCTTTCCTGTCCAGGTTATTGCCTTTCATATGGAGAAGGATAACATGTGGTGTAGGAGATTCATCCTGCAGGCCCTTTTGGGATAGAATGGGCTGGCTATGACAGGGAATTCCATCATCTCCAGATGTTTGATTTTGAAATATGAATGGTCTGAAAGCTGCTGGTGACTCACGAGATCTGAGAGGATTTTGAAATATATAGTGCATTGGTTCCCTCTCTTGTTACACTGGAGAAATTATAGTCTCTGAGGACCTAATGCCAAGTTACAAATACCTGCAGAAATATTCTCCTAAACTCAGAGTAAAATGGGGATAGGTAGTCTTTTTATTTTCTGGCTGAGAAGGGGTGGCTAAAAAGGACAATTGACTTACCTACTCAGTCTGATACTGGATCTGATCCCAGGACCTTTCCTTGGCCAAATGTCACAAGAGAACTAGGTAGGTCACTTGAAGCAAAAGCTGTAGCATCAGAGCCTAAGGAGGAATGGAGTGACTTGGGAGAAAAAGACTAATCTGTGATCAGAAAGGAGACATTGTTTTGAGAAAAGAAGGAAGCTAAACTTATAGAGCACTTATTGTGAAATATTATATCTTGAGGGTCCCTTGATAAACAGCAGGTCTTTGTAAACACTGTACAAAATTATTGTTCCCTATCTATAACCCTATATTACCCTTTGCAGTTATTGTCTCAGAAGAAGCACAGCACAACTTAACAAAGAAGTCTTTTTTTTTGGGGGGGGGACACAAAACAATAATATATTTCTTTTTAAATTTTTTTTATTTTTTTATTTTTTTATTTTAGCATATTATGGGGGTACAAGTGTTAAGGTTACATATATTGCCCATGCCCCCCTCCCCCCTCAAGTAAGAACTTCAAGTGTGTCCATCCCCCAAATGTTGCATAACTTACTCGTTGTGGTTGTATATACCTATCCCCTCCTCCCCCCTCCCACCCTCCGACACCCAATAAATGTTACTCCTATATGTCCTATATGGTGTTGATCTGTTAATACCAATTTTCTGGTGACTACATGTTGTGCTTGTTTTTCCATTCTTGAAATACTTCACTTAGTAGAATGGGTTCCAGCTGTATCTGGGAATATACAAGAAGTGCTATATCACCATTGTAAAAGAAGTCTTTTTCTTCAAACTACTTTGGGATCAAAAGCCCAAAAGAATAAATTGAAGAGATAAGAAAGGGAAAAAAAAAGCAACTCAGCTATGCGTGTGGTTAGTTATGCCTTTTCCAACTCTCATTTCTGTTAGGTTAAAACAAGGTAATACGTAAGGAATGAGTTTGAAAGCTGTAAACATGGTATTATTATTATTATTTTCCTGTAGAGACAAAGCAATAGAAGTGAAGAAGTCACAAACAGATCATATAGGTCTCTAATTATCTCTTATCTGAAACATAAGTGCCTAGTAATGTAGGTAGTTCTAATAGGAGAAAGACTTATTCCACAAGCTACTAATTAAAATCAATATGGCCTTGATCTTGTTAGCCCAGAGAGATTGAAGATTCTAGGGAGAGGATTGTGAGACCCCAAATCCAGAAAGGTAGAAAAGACCAGTAGCTTGTAACCATTTATTCATTTATTTACTCATTTGTTATTTTCAATAAATATTTATAAAGAACTACTAGGATTTCCTGGGCAAAGAATTTATAGTCTAGTTGGGGAGACAAGATTAAGGAATATAACACAGGTGCAGGACTTTACTTAGAGCAAAGGAGAAAGCTCATCATTTGAGTTTGGAGAGAGTTATGAGAGGATGATGTGGGAGTATGATTTGATGAACTGAAAAATGTTGGATGACTCCAAGCTTTTCCATTACAGTGGCATGATAGCATCACCAGAAGAGGAAAGGGAGAAGACGTGGGGGTTGAAAAAGAGAATAACTTCAGTGAGAAGTATGTTGGAGAAGACAGTTTAAATTGTACAGCATATGTCTATATTGAAGCTTGATTTGAGATAGGCTCTCAGACAATGTTAAGTAGGCAGTTCTGCACTTGATACACTGTGGGGAAGAGCCTGGGGTAGAGAGGGGATATGTCTCAATATCACTCTTGTCCACTGGCTGTAGGAACTTTTTGTCCTGGGAATTTTGACTGGGGAATGTCAAATCAGCATTTTATCAGTCTCCCAAATTTAATATGTTTAATATAATAAAACTATACTCCTGATCTTCCTCCCCAGCTTGCTTTCTCCACAGCCTTCCTCAGCTCAGTGAATGGAAGCTCTGTCCTTCCAGATACTCGGCCAAAAACCCTGGAGTCATTCTTGACTCTTTTCTTTCTCACATCTTCAAGATATACTCAGACTCCAACAAGATTTCGTTTTAATACCACCTCCCAGCAACTAGCCTGTTCTAAGCCTGCATAGCCTCTGCCCAGATGGTTGAAATAACCTCCCAAGTGGTCTCCTGGCTTTTACTCCTGCCCTCCCATCCCACAGTCTATTCTCAACACTGTAGCCAGAGTGATCTAGATAGAGCAGAAGGCAGGCCAGGTCATGCCTTTGCTCCAATCCCTCCATGTCACCTAAGTTAAAGTCAAAATTCATAAAATGGACCATGAAGCTCCAAGATTTAGATCCCTCTACCTCCCCGACTTCATGTCCTCCCACTGTCCCCACATCCACTCTGGTCTTGACAAACCAGCCTCCTGATTGTTCCTCAAACACATCAAGCAGCTCCTTTTCTTAAGGAGGAAACCCGCTGCTTCCTCTGCCTAGAACAGTCTTTCCTTGGGTATTTACATGGCTCATTTTTTATTTCTTTCAAGTTTCTGCCCAGATGTCATTGATTGGTAAAACTCTTCAAGACCATATTTATATAACTTAGCAACACCCTACTTACTGCTAAGGCATCCCCTGCACCTCTTACTTAGCTTTCGTTTTTCTCCATACCACTTTAGACATAGTATATATTTTATTATTTTTAATTAGATTTTCCTTTCTAAAATGAGGACAAGTTTGATTTTGATCTGTTCACCACTGCATTTTCAGTACCAAGAGTAGTGTCTAGAACATACTGGGCACAGTGTTTATTGAATGGTTGTCTATGTTTTAGGTAGCAGCTGAGGCCTGTGAAGGAAGAAGGCACAACACCAAATGGGAACACAAAGAAACCAGAAGATGGATTTTAACAGAAGGCATTATGTCTTAAGGAGGAAAGACAAATGGAAAGAGAATTGAGGAGGGAAAAGAACAGAGAAGCTGAGGTGAGCAAAGTCCACCTTCCTTTGGTCAGTGGGCCAAAGGTGCTTGACCCATTGCTGGGGTCACATGAGAACATGTAAGGACCTCAGAGAAAGGTTCAGTGTGCTTATGAGTCAGGATCAATATTTGGAGTTTTATTTATTTCATTTCCTCCCACTACCCTCTGATTGAAGTGAGAATTTCCTACACAAGTGAGACACGTGTGCCGGTGTAGCCGGAGGTTGGGTGACGGCGGATTGGCAGTCTTCACCTGGAGTCTCAACTACAAGAGAGACCCTAAGGTTCCCTCTGGAACACCAGTCTGTCCTTTCCTATATTTAGGGGAAGTATCATGTGTAGATCTGTTGCTGCAGTGTGAAGTCTTACCTGGTATAGCTGGATGATGAGTTGTTTGTTCGTATTTGTTTTCCCCTATGTAATAATTCTTTTTTCTTTGTAGGTCCACACTACTGATTTGCTATATTACTGTTCCCCAGATCATGCAGAAGCATCTGTAACATATGAAGGGAGGGGTGTGTGTGGATGAAGGGAAGACCCAGGCCCATGGCCGATCCACTGTAGAACCCTGGGATCTTAGTCTTCTCCTAGGCAAGGAAGCCTTCAACTGTTTTTTTTCTAATCTTCAACCCTGGACCAAGATTGTTTTGCATTGGAGGATACTTACTATACGATGAAAGTTGGGAAGGAAGAGAGGCAAAGGTAAGAGGAGGCAGAAGAAAAGTAGACTAGGCAGAGTAGAACATTTATTCCAACATCTTCCTTTCTCCCTTTCTCTCCCAGCACCAACTAATTGCTTAGGAAAGCCACTTTCATAGGTGGTGACTTCTGAGTATGTGGAATTCTCAACCACTTAGCTCTGTACTCCCCCTTCTGGTGAGAGTGTTAATAAACAGTAAGAACCCAGAAATTACAGGATTAGTTATAGATAGCTAAGAATTGTTTGTACATGCAAAGGCTTTGTTTTTATTTCTGATTCTGAAATAATAGAAATCACAAAAGAAATATATAAACTCATTATTTTAAATCATCACTTGTTACTATTTTATTGATGTCACAAAATAACTGCATTGATTATAAATTTGCACTAAGAGCTACATTATTCATTCAAATGCCAACAGTTTTTCCTTTGAAAATTTTATTTGTTACTTATGAATTATTTTTATGGTTCTTGAAACCTGAGAAAGTTTTCATTAAATCCTTTTTATTTAATAGGTTCATGTGTGATATTAAGCTAAATTACTTGCTAAATTACTATATTATATTATAATATCATACTGTATATTTTGATACTATGGTTTCTATGTGAAGTCTTCTGATTTCTTTTATTTTTATAGATTTAGGGCATACAAGTTCAGTTTTGTTACATGTAATATATTGTATAATGATGAGGTCTGGGCTTTTAGTGTGTTTATCACCTGCATGGTGTACTTTGTACCCAGTAGGTAATTTTTCCTCTCTCATCCCCCTCCCAACCTCCCACCTTTGGAGTTTCTAATGTATGTTTTTGTACTCTATACAATGATACATACCTATAGCTTAGCTCCCACTTATAATTGAGAACGTTCAGTATTTGGTTTTCTGTTCCTGAGTTACTTCACTTAGGATATTGGCCTCCAGTTCCATCCAGGTTACTACAAAAGACACTATTTCATTCTTTTTGATGGCTGAGTAGTATCCCATGGGGTACTTTTAGGAGAAGACTAAGGTCCCAAGGCTCTACAGTGGATTGGCCATGGGCCTGGGTCCTCCCTTCATACACACACACACACACACACACACACACACCTCCCTTCATATGTTATAGATGTATGTATTTAATGTATGTGTGTGTATATATATACATATATTATATATATATACACATATATATCACATTTTCTTTATCCATTCATCAATTGAGGGACACATGTTAATTTCATATCTTTGCTATTGTGAATTGTGCTACAACAAATGTATGAGTGCAGATATCTTTTTGATATAATACTTTCTTTTTGTTTAAGTATATACTCAGTAGTGGGATTGCAGGATTGAACAGTAGATCTACTTGTAGTTCTTCGATAAATCTTCATACTATTTTCCACAGAGATTGTACTAATTTACATTCCCACCAACAATGTATAAAGCATTCCCTTTTCACTGCATCTGCACCAACATCTATTATTTTATGCCTTTTTAATAATGGCCATTCTGACAGAGGTAAGGTGGTATCTTATTGTAGTTCTAATTTGCGTTTCTCTGATGATTAGTGATATTGAGCATGTTTTCATATGTTTGTTGGGCTTTTTTATATCTTCTTTTGAAAAATGTCTGTTCATGTCATTTGCACACTTTTTAATGGGGTTATTTGATTTTTTTCTTGCAGAGTTTGGATTCCTTATAGATTCTGCATATTAGTCCTTTGTCAGAGGCATAATTTGAAAATATTTTCTTCCATTCTGTAGGTTGTGTATTTACTCTGTTGATTATTTTTATTTTGCTGGGCAGGAGATTTTTAGTTTAGTTAAGTCCTATTTGTTTATCTTTGTTTTTGTTGCATTTGCTTTTGGGGTCTTACTCATAAATTCTTTGCATAGGCCAATGTCTAGAAGAGGTTTTCTTCTACAGTTTTTAAAGTTTCAGGTCTTACACTTAAGTTCTATAATCCATCTTGAGCTAATTTTTGTATATGGTGAGAGAGAGGGCTCTGGTTTCATTCTTGTGTATGTGGCTATCCAATTTTCCCAGTACCATCTATTAAATAAAGTATCCTTTCCCCATTGTATGTTTTTGTCTGCTTTGTCAAAGATCTGTTTGTTGTAGGTATATGGGCTTTATTTCTGGGTTCTCTGTTCTGTTCCATGGGTCAATTTGTCTACTTTTATGCAAGTACCATGGTTTTTGGTTACTATAGCCTTGTATAATAATATAATTTGAACTCGGCAATGTGATGGTTCCAGTTTTGTTAGCTTAGAATTGCTTTGGTTATTGGGGTTCTTTTTTGTTTCCATATGAATTGTTTTTTCTAATTCTGTAAAAAATGATGTTAGTATTTTGGTAGGGTTTGCATTGACTCTATAGATTGCTTTGGGCAGTTTGGGCATATTAGCAATATTGAGTCTTCCAATCCATAAGCATGGGATGTTTTTCCATTTGTTTGTGTCATCTATAGTTTCTGTCATCAGTGTTGTATAGTTCCCCTTGTAGAGATCTTTTATATCCTTGGTTAAATATATTCCTAGATATTTGATTGATTTTTTGCAGCTATTATAAATGGGATGAAGTTCTTGATTTGGTTCTCAGCTTGGTTTTTACTGGCATATAGAAATGCTACTGATTTGTGTATGTTGATTT